GAAGAAGAGGAAGAAGAGGAAGAAGAGGAAGAAGAAGAGGAAGAAGAGGAAGAGGAAGAAGAGGAAGAAGAAGAAGAGGAAGAGGATGAAGAGGAAGAGGAAGAAGAAGAGAAAGAAGAGGAAGAGGAAGAAGAAGAAGAACAGGAGGAGGAGGAGGGAGTAGAAGGGGAGAGGGAGGGGGAGGAAGGGAAAGGGGAAGGGGAAGAAGGAGAAGAAGAGAAAGAAGAAAAAGCAGAAAGGGCATCTATTAAAATCCAGGTACATTTACCAACAACAACAAAAAATCTCCTTACGTAGAATTATTTTTGTATTCAAGGACTGTATCAACCTACCTGTCTAATCACATAGAACCAAAGGCAAGTTAAATGCTTCTCTGTAAGCGTGACATTGTCCTAGCCCAGACTCTTTGATCCGCTTCCTTTGGCTGTCTTTATTTATCCCCAAAGCAATCTTACCCACCCAAATTCTTTAAACACCACTAAATATTGATGCCTCCCAGGTATAGATCCTTATCCCAGCCCTTTCTCTGGAGCTTTAGACTTGTGCCCCTCACTGCCTGCTTAAGTGATATGCATCTTAAACTTCTCGTGCCCAAACCAGACTGCAGGCTTCACCTCCAAGCTGTTGCCCATCTCAGTAAATGTTAACTCTATTTTCCAGCTGCTCAGGCCAGAGATCTTGGAGCCATCCTTGGTTCCTTTCCTTCTCTCTCTCTTTTTTTTTTTTTTTTCTGGTACCAGGAATTGAACTCATGACCTTGCACTTGCCAGGCAGGTGCTGTGCCGCTGAGCTAAATCCCCAGCCCCCCCTTTCCATCTCTTAGGCCCTGCCATTGGAGTCCTTTCGACCAGCATTTGAAATATACAGGGGACTTCTACTACCGTCCCTCCTCCTCCTGTCCCCTCCCCTCCATCTCTTCCCCCTCCTCTTCCCTCTCTTCCTCCTCCTCCTCACTCTCCTCCTCCTTCTCCCTACCCTTCCTCTTTCCTCTCCTCCTCCTCCCTTCTTTTCCCTTTTCTTCCCTTCTCACCCCTTCTCTACCTTTTTTTGGTCAAAACAGCTCAAAGCGTCAGGCACTGCAGAGAAAGAATGGGTATCCGTGCAGAATGGTGGTGTCCACAGAGGTGTTTTAAGAAGAATGATCCGTAATGTTAAGTGAAATAAATCAGACTCACAAGCTCAACTAGTGTATGCTGCCAGGTGTGGTGGTGCTGAGGCAGAAGGATCACCATGAGTTCGAGGCCAGCCTGGGCTACATAGTGAGCTCAACACTGGCCGGAACTACATAGCAAGATCCTGTCTCAAAAAAAAGTATGACTTCTCTTATGTAAGAAATTCAACATATAAATAAATCAAAGAGAAAAATAAAAGACAGATAATAAGGAATAAGGAGACAGGTCTTTTGCAAATGGATAGTGGACCAAGAAATGTTGGGAAAAGGGAGAGATGGAGGGGAAGGGGATGTGAAAAGAATGACGAGGCATCATGTACTTGTGCCAACTACCTGCAATGGATGTATTCATTCCGTCCTGCAAACATGTACTAATAATAACTTTAAAAGGAAGGGTAAATATGGCTTCTACTGAAGACAGTCAGTATTAGAGAATGAAGTCTGAACCTTAGCGTGAAAGACATTTGCATGTGCTGGAAAATGCAGGGATGGCCCTGCCAGGGAGGAAGAACACGAGCAGGATGATGAGGGGGCCCCCGGGGGTGCAGCAGGGGCTGTCCTGGCCAGGAGAAGCAGAGCCAAGCAGGACGAGGACCGCAGCCATGCTGGGGAAGAGGAGTGGTCAAGAGGAAGGGGCAGCTGCACGCTCAGGGAGATTGATTAAATGAGTGAACATATTTCTGAAACTGGGGCACTGGCTTTGCATTCTCAGAGAAGAGGTTTATACAGATAGAAAGGCAGAAAACAAGAAGGACCACGGTACTGGATTAGAACTGGAACTCACGGACCCTCGATGAATGCAAACGAGAGATGGCTTTCAACCGTCAGGAGCAAGAAAATGGCACCAAGTGCCGCAGTATTAGTTCATATTCTAACAGTGGGATTTGGGGTTGCAAAAGAAACCAATTTGGGTTAACTTAAAAA